AGGCGTCGGTTGGCTTCCCAAGTTGCATAACGCTTAAGAGATGTGAAGCAGCGGAGAAGAAGGAACAAAATTGCTACTGTAGCGGCAGCGGCAGTGATCTTCGCTACGATGCCGACAGGGGGCGCTCTCAGAAAGCGCCCGTAGACGGGGGACTCCTCAAATACTGGGTTTGCAGAAGGGTAGTGTTCAGATCCAAACAAGGCCGGTGTTGATCCAGATGATAGGTGAGAGAGGCCCCCGTCCAGGATGGAAGGGTCAGCACCATGAGCCCCCCACCAGCGCTGTCCTAGGAACAAAAGCCAATAAACTATTCCAACTAGGAAGATATTAAGGGGGCCCAAAAATAATCCCATCCTCGCTGATCCCGCAATGCTCATACGGAGGCATTACGGCCCTGACCGAGCCACCATGAGGTTCGATGCCAAGCTCTCCAATTCTTCAATGAGTATTCAAGGGAGATTAATTAGATTGAAAATGAGGTAAATATGCTGAAATAATACACATTTTGGGAGTAAACAATATTATGACGAGCTGGAAACCCGTTTGGGAGCAACAATTTGGATCGGCTCGGTCTGCATATCAGCGTCCCTTCGGAGCCACGCCGCTCTCCATGGATATCAAGGAGATTGTGCCGTGTTATCTCAACCTCCCCTTGCAGAACAAAGCCCCAATTTCGAGTGTAATAACGAATTTAAAATTTGCGGAAGCTGGCTTGCACAGACTTGCATTCCAACGAAATTGACAATGTGTATTCCATAGCCTGAACGGGGCGAAAGGCAAGAGCTCAGCTCGTGAACACGAGAATGCTAGGCCACGTTTCCTTAGATGAGATCAAACTGATTCTATCCAAAAAGAATTTAAGTTTATTGTCACGTTAGTTTTGTGAGGATTAAACTCGCTGATTCAGCAGTTCGGGTCTCAACTATCGCTACCTCATCGACCGCAAGTACCGGCGTGTCGGTATGGGTGTTTGTCGTTGCTCTCGCTTGAAGTCGCACCTCGGTAGGACCAATTCTTAACTGAAGGCAAAGGGCTGGATGCCGTTTTCACGACTGCACCCGTGCTCACTCTTGTTTCTTGCTTACTCGGCTGGGTGTTGGACTTGCACAGATGGTAGCGTGGTTTGTCTAGTTACAGGGTGCATTTCTCTTTGCGTGCAGTCTGCCTCCTAAGGGACAACTAAGCGTTTAGAAATCATCTAAGAGCTGCATACAATAACACTCCGGTGTTACTGCACGCAGCAGTGGGAGACTGGTTGTGCTTGCACGCGGAGTAGTGAGCGTTCTCGTTTTAGTACGAGAACTATTGTGGACTGTGATGGGCTCAAAAACGCTTAACTTGAGGGTTCTTTAAAAGCGGCGTATCATTCTCCTGGCTCCATATGCCCTGAGTTCAACGGCTGAGCCATGAGGTGCGACACACTTTGCAGGAGTTCCTTTGTGAACGCCAGTCGCACGTACAAGCGCAACAAGCGTCCTTGGGTTTATTAATGAACGCCGTCCTCAGTTGTTTATTCTTGCGTACTGCTTGTCTAGTAGGAACGGTGGTTGTTCGTTTGTCAACTTCCTGCAGGCTTGTCAACATCGCACACAGTTTGCAGCATCTGACCACCCTAAAAATGACTGCAGAGAGCTGGAATTCCCTCATGCTGCTACACATCGTAGAGCACTTTTAGCTGCCTCCATTGCTCTGCTCACATCGTTTCCGTGCATCACTGCCTCCACAGGTGGATCTGATGTAAGCAGGGGAGCAAGAAGCTCACGGTAGGCAGCCTAAGAAAATTTTGTCACAACAAAGGAATAGTTAACATAACAGTGCACATAGAATGCAATTTTTGGGGGGCCTCCGGGTTGTGAAACAGGAACGCTTACCTTTTGATTGAGTGAGTCCTAGCCTTCAGTGCACTGTTCATTCTGAGGTCCGAAGTAGTTGTCACCCAGAAAAGGATTGTCATTAGACTTGCAAGCGGAATAGCTTCGCCCAAGTTATCATCAGAAAACCATTCAAAGTGCTATTCTCCAGGCCATTTAGGGTGCCATTATCTCTTCCTATGGCTTCTGTAAGTTGTTTCGCGAGTGCTTAAGCTGTTAGACTCCTCCAATTGCGGCTGCTCAACATGATGGTACTGACTCTTGGATGTTTAGTTTCCGTGTTATTTCGTTGACCCCCTAAACCGTTTTAAAAAACCAACGTCAATCATATGATGACGTATCCAAGCTGCGAGTAAGTCCACGATGCAGGCTAATGCATTGACGCGAGAAGGAACAGCAGAAACTCCTACCCAGCGTAATACAGAGAACTTCTTCTGCTATTCTGACTCTTGCGAGCTTTGGAGGGCTTGCGAATCCACCAAAACCTCGTCGCCTTCACTGAATTTACTTGCTAAACGTCACGCTTGTGGTGGTTGCGAGCCTGATATTCATCTGCTTAACTCATACATTCCCACATTTCTTGGGGCTGGGTGGAGTTTTCTGTGGTTGGCAGGCTTCCAAGTGCCACATGCAACGCTGCATGTGCGGTACACAGTTGTATTACAAAGCATTATGCACAAGGAGGCTGGTGTTTTATACCACCCATGCCGCACAAGGGATAAAACCAAGCCACGCAGAGGAATATTCCGGGTTCCTGAGTCGTAAGTACAGCAGCAACGTGCTGCTGGTGCCTCGGCATCGACTATCTGCTATGGAATGTTTTGCGGCAGTCCTGTTATCTCCGATTTAAGACAGTTCATTACTTCACTGTACAAGGCGCTGATGGACTCCCGATCCGAATCAGGGATGAAACGTGTCGGAAGACGATGAGGTCTCTAGGCACAATGCAACGGGAGCTGTTACTGCCACCGACCAATTTTCTCATAAGAGTTCTGTTTAGCGCTCTTCGCTATGTGCGTAGGGTATTGCAACAGAAGTAATTCCGGCACCTTTTGAAAAAGCGTAGCGCTCTTCCTCGCGTTATGGTTATTTAGCTATTTATGCTCGTTATTTATGCTCCCTCTCCCTGACACACTGAATGCCAGGAGATAATTCTTTGCGTCTTTGAATTGGAAAAGCCGCCCCCTTCATTTTCCTCAAGAGCAGTGTAATTGTATGCTGCAAACTCGAGCTTTTCGCCGCTGAGTTCCTTCTCCGCTGCCCATTCAGTTACCGTTTGCCTCTCTCCTGAGGACAGCCCAGCAGAGAACCACTGGTACAGAGGCTAGGACATCAGCGTTGCGTTGCTATTCTCCAATGATGTGCTTCTCGATATAGCAATATATCGGTAGCTCCCTCTTCCATAGCCTGTCTCCGTGCCCACTATGAAAAAACAGTGCAAGTCGCCACAGATGTTTCAGGTATGCTGCACACAAGCACCACACTAGTTTAGAAGCTGCCACAATTGTCAGGCCTCCATTTCTAATAACGAAGGTGCCAATAGCATCTGTGGTTCTTTTGGCCTCTGTAGGAGACGAAAGTAAAGGCCGAGAGATGCAAAGAGCTCCCCAGCTGCCCCAGCATTGTGGAGGCCGTTATATCTCGATGACCGACAGAGGCAGACGCATGCTCCATGAATTTATTCTGCAGTAAGAACAGTTTTCTTTGGGTGGGATGCAAAAGTTGAGCTTCGTTCAACTCGGCGAAGGTTGCAACGATTGGTCAGACCCTTGTGAATATCCACTGCATAACAAAAAGGGTAGTTAACAAAGGTTTTGAGAGAGTTCGAAAGATAGTTTCGGGGACATATGCACATTTTAAGCAACATCGGGCAATTACTCGTGCATGTGCAGCGACCCACCATTGTCTGGGTGTGACAAGCATCGTTACCACCAGCACTCTGTAACGATGCAGCGACATCAAGTGAAAAGCTGGTCCTCGACCATGTCCGAAGACTCGTGTGTGCTGCAGTGGAATTAAAATGCGTGAGAAGAGAATTCCTCAAATGCAGCATAACTCCTTCCCTGCCTCCAAGCATCCTGGGATGAGCAGCTTAGCTGCATTTTGCTGGGCGAGAGGAGGCGGCCTGGCATGCCTTGCAACGCATCTTAAAGGTGCAATTCATCCTCATATACAAGCACGCACATGACTTCTTAGTTGTATGCACAAACACTGTACGCAGTTGTTAAGAATTCTTGCCTGCTTGCCGTTTGCCTAGTAGGGTCGAGTAGGGAGGGCTCATGTGCCAACTGCAGACAAACATGCGAACACCCTGTAAGACATAACACCTGAGTACGACTGGACTAGGTGTCCTGGGTTGTTTGGTGATTAAACCAAAGAGAAACATGCACAAATGCCCATTTATGACAATATAACCCGATAAAATCCACATTTTCTAGCTATAGGTGGCGTGCTGTAATTAGGCTGCCGTACAGCCTGTCCAACTATCGGCCTGCTGGGGCTGCCGGGACTTCGCAGCACGTGATGCCGCGCAGTTGCTCTGAAATGCTTTGGCTCGCCCCTCTACTTATTCCGAATCATTGTTTTTAACTTTTGTTGTTGGGGTGAACCAGTTCCTGGCGGAATCTCTCCTTCGGTGTTTGTAAGCTCGGCTGGTTAACGGGCAACATGGCGCTAGCTGTTAACAGGATCCAGGCTGTCTGCAGGACTTCGAGGGTACACACACCATATATTTTAAAGCAAATCTAATAATATCCAATTGTGTTATTCGTTTGTCTTTTGCTAGCTGAGTGCTCGGGCCGATGAGTTCCGCGCGCATTCCAGATGCAGCGCAACTTCACGTATTCAGGAACTCAGGAGGGAACGTTGGAGGACGTTGTGACAGGGCACCACCATGGTTTTGCATTGGGGGTTTTCAGTACTTTGGATCCCACCCGATGTCATACATGTTGCTAACCATCCCACCTGGCGGGAAGGGATCCTGTTTTTTGCACTGTCTGTTGGTCTCTCTTGCGTCTAACTAAGGCTTCAAAAGTCCTCTGGAACTCCCCTAATATCAGCTTTGCCGCATTGTTTCCTGACAAATGCGAGCTGTGGGGGTGAACTGGGAAGCTTTGGGGTTGTGCGATAATGCTGTTTTCAGTGCTTCTCATCCACTGCTCGCGTATTTGTGGATCGAAATACGAAAGTCATTTGCCAGGGTCTGACCGGCAATCAGGTGATTTTGTAGGTTTAGACTTTGTCTTATCGAGCTATTCTCTTGTTTAGAACGTAGGTTCTGGATTTCCTGGTTAACCCCACGTCGGCGGTTTGAAGCTGTTCCATTCTTGCAGGGGACCTTTCACAGTGAACAGGCACTGAACTATGGCACGCAACTTGTAGGTGGAGTGAATCCAGCGAAGGGAGGCACTACATGGACGAGCTCAGATGGGCGGTACAAACTACCAGTCTTCAAGTCCGTCAGGGAGGTAAAAATGCGCCAAAAATCACAGTGTTTATGCAGAACGGAGTTGATCCGGTTCGTCGCACTTCACATTAGCTGTTGGGTGTGTTGGTAAGCATCATTTGGTTTTCGGGTTCCTAACATCCTTTATCGGCTACAACTGTATCTAGTGTGCACAAAACAAATACGCATTAGGCCAAGGACGCCACGGGCTGCCACGCCTCGGCGATCTTCGTACCTGCTCCCCACGCGGCTGCTGCCATCCTGGAGTGCGTGGAAGCAGAGCTGGACTTAGTAGTTTGCATTACTGAAGGCATTCCTCAACACGACATGGCGGTGGTCAAGAAGCGTCTTCGTCAACAAACAAAGACCCGCCTTATCGGCCCAAACTGTCCTGGAATTATCAAGCCGGAAGAGTGCAAGATCGGCATCATGCCTGGCTACATTCACAAGAAGGGATGCATTGGTGCTACTCGTAACTGAAGAACGTTCACCACAGGCTAGAAACATAGAAACCCAATTCAATCGGATAGTGGATTCGAGAAAAACAATGGGATAAATGAACTCACCTGGTAGTGCAGCGGTTTCAATGGTAATGATTGTGCGGTGCGTGGGTGTTCTCTGTAACAGGCGTCGTCAGCAGAAGCGGAACTCTGACATACGAGGCAGTCAACCAGACCAGCCAAGTTGGTTTAGGCCAGTCGGTCTGTGTAGGGATCGGCGGTGATCCGTTCAATGGCACAAGCTTTATCGACTGTCTTGAGCGATTCGTTGCAGACCCCGAGACGAAGGGCACGCCGGCACTTGCCACATTGAGGTTTTAGATTCAGATTCCCAAAGTTCTTTTTGTACAAGATATGCACTGGGTGGAAATATGAATACTCAGACGACCAGTTGTTTGCGTGCAAGCGTGAGGGGTCTTTGGCTGCACGAATATTCATTCACCCATAACGAAACAGGGAAACTGCAATATGCGCCTCAGGTATTGTACTCATAGGCGAAATAGGCGGTTCCGCAGAAGAGGAAGCAGCGGAGTGGCTCAAAAGTGAGTCAGAGAAACGCACCGTGTAGTGTGCAAATGCAGTTCAGCTGAAAGCAGGCTACAGACACGTTCTTGTCAACACGGTTAAAATTTACTTGGAACGGAATTCAAAGGGGACCATAGCAAATTATACGTCCATCGATCGGCGTGACCTACGGCAGTTGACGTTCGTGTGCATTCGAGTACAGGCGTCCATTTGTTTAGTTTTCACCTTGTCGTTGTGCGGGGGCCGCTTACTGGTAGCTGCAATTGCACTGTTTCCGTCGGTGTTGCTGTCGGGTTGCGATGCAGAGCACAACTGCGGAAAACCGGTGGTTTCGTTCATCGCGGGGAGCAGCGCGCCACCGGGGCGACGCATGGGCCATGCGGGCGCTATCGTCAGCGGGAACACCGGAACTGCATCGGGGAAGGTGAAGGCTCTACAGGCAGCGGGAGTAGTGGTGGTGAACAACCCGGCGCGCATTGGAGAGGCCATGTATGCGGCAATGAAAGACAAGGGGCTCGTTTGAGGGGAGCCCGCCCAGCTGTGCTGGGTACTGCGTTGTTGCTTTAAAATGCTCCAGTTGGATTGTTTGCACTACCACAGTTGGGTTTAGTCGATGTATTCACCGTTACAATCCGCCGTTCTTCTTGTAGAGGCCATCTACGGAGTACGCAGGCCTGGCTAAAACTACTAGCAAGTATGCGAGCACCATGGATGCATACTGCAACCATGAACATGCAGCCAATGCTTGCTAATCGTCTTGCCCACGGGTTGGCGGGTTTCCCTATGTGAAATTGACGCCGAATGCTTGTGCGTTCGTGGAGCCCTTGATAACGGGGAACGAGGAAAATGTGATCAGGCCACCGAAGTTGAAGTCTAGTGTCTTCGAATGCGTGTGTCTCCATATATGCACTGTGATCGGCAAAGGCTTTCCGCTGTCTAGCAGGAGCACTGGTGCCATGGAAAGCAAGCAACCACCTGCACAGTTCAGTACCAGTGACAGGAACGACGTCTGCTTTGGCTACGCGCAGCAGCCGACAGGCAGACTTTGAGGCTGACTCCTATGGCTTGAGGCTGCGCTTCATGTGGCGGAGAATTCTGCAAAATTCTTTTTGGTCGTAAAGGGACTGCCGCAGACAACTGAGGGCTAGCCCTCTGCAAGTCTTCCTCGCCTCCCTACGTGCATGTACAACTAGGCATATTCATGCACTTCTGACGGACGAGAAAAGCCTCACAGGTGGGGTCGTACTGCTGTCCCATATGCGTAGAGCAGCTGCCTTCAGCGGCATGACCTCTGGATGCAGAATGCAAGCGTTTGGGCTAACGTCGTCCACATTGGCTGCCCCCCTCAGCAGCGGAGGGCCCACTGAGCTTATTCTGGCAGATATAGCGAGGTACTAATATGAGACGAACAACAGGACGTATATACTAGACTGGTTACTGACACGCAACCTCAGGTGATTCATTGTTCGGCCACGGAAAACGCTTTGGGGCCCTCCGTCTTCGGTCACACGCATCTGTGCACCTATATTCAACTGCAACTCTTGCTGCTCCGTCGCCCAAGCAACGGATTACCGAAAGCAGCAGAACGCAAGGGGTCCCGTTGTGAGTAGCTCCTGCTGCTCGTGGATGGGGCCTATGCGGAGTCCTGCGTCTCTTCCTCAATGCAGCATAGGGGCTTTATCTCCTCTTTTTGTTGCATCTGCTTGTCTTGGTCCAGAAGTTCCTCCTCAGAGAATACCAACAGGTGGACGATTCCCTCCACTTTGTCTCTGATTCGTCGTTAACATAGCACAAGCACACCAAGCGACGGAATCTACTTGCATTCCCCTAAAATACGCGCTGTTTTAACGAGAAGACGACACTAGCTAGCATGGAGAAGGCGCCTCCACGCCTACAAACATGTATGCTATATATTATAGAATGTCACTAGCCACCGTCGTGGGAACAATATATCCTAGACGACATCTACGGAATTACCTGATGCTCTCCTCCGTCTCGATGCAGAAGACAGCACGCAGCACTTCGTACACGCCAAACCAGCGCAGCGTTTCCCTGTGCGCCCGCAGAAGAAGAGAGAGGGGAGGCATCAGGGTTTCGGGTGAAGGTGGCTCAGCCGGGAATGTAAACACTGCAAGCACCACTCTGAGTTACAATAGGTCGGCAAGTCTACATTTCCACTCCAGGGTTCGGGGGAAGCCCCGCCATAAACGGTGTAACAAAACTCAAGGGTGCGCATAGATAGGTAGTGGGATGTACGCTAGACCCCTTGATCCGCAGCTGCAGCCTAAACCCCCGGCCCCCGATATGGATCTATTTCCGGTAAGCGGACTGTGCGAGATCCACCCTGCATGCCTATTGCTGCTTGGTGGCGTCCTTGTGCGCTATCTCTACTTCTGCATGCTGCCAGCTACAGCAGCAGATGCGGAAAGGATGGGCATGGAACAAACAATTTGTTTTTGCCGGGCACAGGAGACACAAGTGAGAGGACGGCGCATCGAGTGAGCGTGCAAATCACCGGCCGTGAGGTGAAGTGGCCAAGGCCGCCAGACAGTCCACCGCCAGACTGCGGCCCTTCGCAGAAGCGGCGGGGCCGTAGCTGCAACTCTGAAGAACAGTTGAGACAAAGGCACAAACACACAAAAACGCATGGTGGAGCTACAATCCACGGACTAGCGCAACGCAGCGGACACATAGGGAGACAAAACGGGAAGCAAACAAAGTGACACGACGGAACGCAGACAACATTAGGGGAGAGCAATTCATCTTACATCAACGGTAGGGTGCAAAAAGCGCAGACGCTGTCGTTCTGTGATGCCCGTATGCTGTTGTTGCTGCTGCTCCTGCTGCCGCTGCTTGTCTTCTTCTGCATCTTGAGTTGTCAGTTCATCTCGTGCCTTTGTGCGTTGGACACTGTCTGGTTTGGGATACAGGAAGCAACAGAGGGCCAGTAAAAGCCGGCAATCTTCCTCTGGCGACAGCAGCTGCTCGCCTTGGTGCTGCTGCTGCAGCTCCTGACTGTACTGCTGCTCTACCTTTTGCTGCAGCTGGTTGGGGTCTACAGGCAGCAGTAAAGGGTGCAGCTGCTCGCGACAGGCGAGTCTCAATGCCAGCAACAGGAATGGTGCCTGACAAAGAGGAGGCAAGTACCTCAATAGGTCCCTGATGCAAAAGCTCACCACAACCAAAACAAACTTCACCGCTCCTATAAAGTAGTAGCAGCCGCAAATAAAACGGCAGAACCAAAAACAGAAACTGCCAATTCCATCTCCAGATTCCCTCCCTCCATGGGTGGAGAACTCACGCACGCAATGACCGCGTATCATGATGTAAAAGAATAAACCTCAGAGACAACCGCTGCAGCAGTGCAGTAGCTGCAGCGGTTGGCTCAGGGCCTAACGAGCCTACAGTGTACATACGCACATGAGTTTATTCACAGTCTTCATCCTGCGGCGCAGCAGGAACTCGACTGCCTCGTCGTTGGCCGTAACATTGCGCAGGATGTGCAGTAGAAATAAACCCTGCTCTTTCCAATAGGCACTTCTGCACTCACCCACAATACCACCCAAACCCTAAACACTAGACTCAACAGCGTGTGAGAATAAATGAAGCTTGTATCTCCAGTTTTTCCTAGGTTGCAGCACCCAAGCAGCAGCTGCAGCATGTAACTATGGCACTTGACACGGAATCCCCTCGACCTCGAATCGCCTAAACCCCGGATCCCTGGTCGATGCGCACTCGGCGTCTCGTGGGGCCTCGTGAAGAAGCAGCAAACAGGGCAGCAAGTGATAATCTGCAGCAGAAGCACAACCAAAAGAGTTCCACATGCAACCCGCAAGTACATCCACACAAACAGCAAGAGGAGCAACAACATCAAAGACAGCAGCAGGAGCCTGTTGTTACAGCAGAAGCACCAGCAGCAACTGCTGGTAAGACCATGGGTGTGCAGGTGGTGCATGCGCGAACCAGGTACTGGTAGTTGAGGAGAGAAGACAGCGTCAATTGCTGCTTTGTGGCGCGTGACATTTGACAGCAGCATCAGGGTGACGCCAATATGCAGGGGAACAGCATCTTCGTCACGTTGTTGCTGTTTCTGCCTCTGCTGCTGCTGTTGTTGCTGCTTCAGGTTTCCCATCAGCACGCTCGTCATGTCCTTGTACTCCTCCAGCATGAGGGCAGCTGCACATACACAGCACCGTAACAAACCCAACTCCTGCCTTGTCTACGGAAGTTTCGCTGTTTACATATCTCGACAAGTCCCAAAAGCGTTGCAGGTCTCAAAAGCCTGCGTTTTGTAGAGTGCCACTATAAAGGTTATCGAAAACAGGTAGGTCCCCAGAAAATTCCAAACCCTATGTCCTACCGAGGGTTTCATTGGCAGTCAAATTGATCAGGACTTCGGTGCTCATAGCAGAGAGGCGACCGTCTCCGGTGCCAATAAGACGCAGAAGGCGACGCACCCCGCTGAAGACGGGATCCCGCCGCTGCGGCTGCTGTTGTTGTTGTTGCTGCTGCTGTTGTTTCTGGCCATATCTGCTGGCAGAGAAGCCTTCCATGAGAAACCGAATGAAATCGGCGTCAGAGCTGCACTGGAGCAGCAGCTGTAAAACTTGCAGCAGGACATCGGGGTTCTGCTGCTGCTGCAGCAGCTGCAGGAGTTCGTTATATGACCTCTCGGAGCCTTCCTCCATATTTGCCGAACTTCTATGGAGATATCAGTCTACTAGCTACAAACGGGCCCTGATCCTCAAGCCTAAGCAGCCCAAGAGCAGTGAAACTCGGAAGCGGCGCGCGGGGCTACGCCGCTGCCTTCTACTGCAGTTGCTGCAGCTGTGGGGCAGCAGGAAATAGGAGACAAATGATGCAGAAGAGAAAAAGAACAACGAAGAGAGATCCAGACAGCAGCAGTGCAAGGCAAAGGCAGAAGGTTGGGGCTTCCCTGCAGCTGCATCACGGGGGCCCCTGTGTCGCTGCCAGCGGAACAGTGCCTTGTGGTACGAAGTGCGAATTAGAGCCTAAAGATGCACTTTGTATTGAATAAATAACAAACGCTGAAATATAAAACATAATTTAGTTTCATACACTAGCGGACGATACAGAAAGGGCCTGCGTCGTTGGGGGCACGCGATGGTCCACCACTGCGGCACTGCTGCTACTGCTGCTGCTGCGGCTGAGGTTGCTGCAACATATCCCTAGAGCCTCCGTTGCTGCAGTCAGAGTTTGAAATTTGCTGTTTTTTCCGTTACATTTGAATCCGTCGCAGAGTCGTTTACCCAATTGGAGCAGCAACTACTGCTGCTACTGCAGCACACGCCTTCAGCGCCTCTGGTGTCGGCCGCCGGCGCCTCAGCTGAAACAGAGTGACTCGCAGCAACAAGCCCGAGGAGTCCTCAACCAATTGTACTATTATATATCTTGTGACTCTTTCTCCCTGCTGGAGGTGGCTGTTTCTGGGACAGCGGCAGCTGCCGCAGCTACTGCTGCCGCCGCCGCTGCTGTGTACTGTCTGCATGCTGATGCTGGCGGAGAACTACCGTGCGGGAATGCAGCAGCCACACAAAGATCAGCTGCAACCTCTGCAGCAAACAATAGGTACAGTGACGGGAGACGGGCAGCATCTGCAGCAGCAATGTACCGTCTGGCACCAGCAGCAGCAACAGGCACATCAGCAAAGGCAACTGGCTCAGCCCCAGCAGCAACAGGGGCCACAACAGCAGCAGCACTCTGCATGGACTTGGACACCAGCATCCGCACAACCGCTGACTATTTCCTCTCAGTATTACAGCCCTGCAGATGATTACCCGCAACAGCACCTGCAGCAGGCGCAACTTCAGCAACAGCAGGACCTGCTGCTGCAGCACCAACAGTCCACGGCAGCACAAAGAGTAATTTCAGGGGCAGAAGACAGTCAAGAGTGGTTCATTGACGATCAGAACTGTCCTGTGCCGCCCCAGCTGATCTACCCGCTGCAGCAGCAACTGCAGCACCAGCAGGAGGTGCAGCTGCAGCAACAGGAAGAGCAGAACATGCAGCTGATGGCGCTGCTGCAGCAACAGGAACGGCGAATTCTCCATCGTGAGAAGCAACTGTTGGCCACCGACACGTCTAACAGCTTGCCACTACAAGAAACTGCCGCCGCAAGTGTAGCACACGACTCTCTTCATCGAACGCAGGAATCTATATCACCTCCCCAGCACGGCCGAGTGCAGTGGAGTACGCAACAGCAGCAGCAACACCATCACCAACAGCATCCCACAGAATATTTTACCGGTCTTGCAGGCTTCCCTGATTCTGCAGTTGGAGGGTGCGGTTCTGCGCCTGTCATGTATTCGGCAAGCGCCTCCCTGCAGCAGCAGCATCAACAGTATCAGCAGCAGGGCCAGCAGCGCCTGCATCAGCACGTGATCGCAGGCCATAAGCCTCAGTCAGCAACGGTTGCCTTTGTTCCTTCGACCAAGGGGAAGGGGAAGGGGCGCTTTTGGGGAGTGACTCGAGCTGTCGTCGTGGGATGTACATACACCCAACATAAGAACTATAACTTGCGGGGACCCGCCAATGACGCTCACCTCCTGGCGCATGCACTGGTACAGCTGCTGCGGGTGGAGCCTGACAATCTGCTGCTGTTAAGCGACGCGCTTCCGGATACGCCATATCGAGGCAGCAGAAACAGCAGCAGCGACAGAGTTCCCAGGGCCCCCCCACAGAGAGCAGCAGCAAAGCCTCGCAGTAGCAGCAGCAGCAGAGAGCACCCTAAGGGACTCGTTCTACACCCAACAGTGGACATATCTAAGTTGGAGGACCCCCAACCCAACCCCTCTGCGCCGACTCAACCGACGAAACAGAACATTCTTATGTATGCGTTTCGCTTCTCCTTTTCTCGTGCTCTCTGCTGCTTTTCTGTCCGTCTTGTCGCTTTTGTTCTTGTGTTGCGTTTGTGGCCTTCATATCTTTATCTCCTTTGTCGGTGTTGCACTGCCCCCCACCGTATATTCAAATGTCGGTGAGAATGAAGATTCTGCTGCCGTGCTGCAGCAGCTGCGGTTGCCTCTGCTTCTTCCTGTGGAGTCGTTTGCATTGCTTGTTTAATCGTCGCCTTGCATACCGTGTATGCATGCTTCTCTGCTTCCCGTTCTGTTGTCCCTGCCCTTGGTTCTGTTTTACTCATTTGGCGTTATTTTAATGTCTGCTGCTTCTTGTGTTTTTGCGCAGTGCGTTGAACTGGCTGGTTAAAGACGCCGTCCCTGGAGATAGGTGGGAGTTGAATGCGAGAGGACGTGTTTTGCATCACTGGCTTCCACCTGCATCTATTGGGGCTTTTGCCTGAGCCTCGGTGCACGTAGAGGCTTTCTGGGGGAGAGAGTCTCCATATGAGTCATAGCGCATGCATGCAGTCATTCATGCATGTGTACGTATAAAAAACATGGATACATGTTTGGGGTGTGTGCATGACTGTTGCAATCTCATGTATGACTTCATCCCTGTATCTTTACATATATAGCTGCCTGTGGACAAACACCGTTAACAATGCAGTGCGTGCGTAGCGATGATCTAGAGGGTGCAGAGATACACACGATGCACGTTTGCATGCGCCGGATTACCCGAAGCAAGAGCATGCAAGCAGATGCTTGCCTGCGGCTAGATTATTTCCCTTCTCACGTTGTGCATACAGAGGCTGCTCATGAGATGTGCGTATGGTCGTTAGTGAGCTTGTCGTGTCGTTGGTTGCGTGCATTCATGCATGAATGCGGTGCTGCTGTTGGTGGTGCAGGCTTTTCTTTTACTTTAGCGGGCACAGCACCCAAGTAGACAATCTCTCTGCCTACGAGGGGGAAGGTGGGGCCTCCTGCACCCTAGGTTCTCACCTCTTAGCAGAGGAAAGAAAGCACTAGAAGCTTTGCACGATGGCTGCTGCGGAGTGTGTTTATTGGGGAGGTTGCTGCAGGCTACGACGAGGCGCTCCTGCCGGTGGACTTCGACTCCCTTGGCAGCGAAGAAGATGCAAATCTGTTGCTAACGACCCACGTGAAGGAGGTGAGCTTCATCTGCCTACTTTCCCGTGCAGCCCCAAAAACATCATAGACGCCTGGTTGTCGTATATTTCATGCAGCACATAGGCCGCAGGGTCCGTGAGCCAAGACAACGAATGCAGCTGCCGCTCCACCTGTAGTTGTATGCCACGAGTGAAGCAATATCCTTGCTACACGTTGTACATACACGTGAGCCAATTGTCGGAGTTGGTGCAGTCTGATTGTGCAATATACGTTGCACGGATGGCAAATAAGGAGAGAGCTCTTAGAAGCGCCCGGACTTACTGCTGTTCGGGTTGCTGGGCGCGAATTTCTGAAGCCAACTTTCCGTTGGTCATATTATGCCTCTAGGAAGTCATTTGTTGCTGTGAGAACATTTGGTGCTGCTGTTGACGTTGCTGAGGCTTCTGCTGCTGCTCCTGATGTCCGTTCTGTTGGCAGGTGCTGCTGAGTGTCTCACCTCAAGTGCACGTGTGCATGATCCTGGACACCTGCGGATGCCAGACAATCCTTGACCCGGCGGGGACAGGCAGTGTCTGGACTTTCATCAAGGGTGAGGCTTCCTCGCATCGATGCTTGCTTCGAGCATGCACGCCATTGTTCCGTTGTGTAGGCCAATGCATTTGTTGCTTCCAATGGTGCTCCAACGTGCACGCGGAAGAACTGCAGCTCACTGCTTAGGTGGAGTTGTCTGAGGGTCTGTCTGAGCTGACATGCGTGTGCGCATGCGTTCGCTGCCCTCGGAGGCTTCGGGATTGCGGTTTAGGGTTTAGAAGTTACGCGCCTGTTAGTGGATTCGGGGTCAGTACGCCTGTTTGCTGCATGCATGCATCGGCTGGCACGTGCTCCTCAGTTGCAGATGCACCGTCTGGCTCCCAGTTGTATTCACGGATAATCGCGGATAATGGGGAACCGAATACGCGCATTCATAGAAAGAGCAGCAGCAGCAGCAGCAGTAGAAATAGTGGCCCCAAAAAGCAGCAGCATCAAAACTGATATTTTTCGCTCCGATATACCGTGATGTATGCTTTTTGCGTTTGATGTTGCGCATGCGGTGTATTTGCCCAAGGACTAACGTTTTTTTGATTTTGCTTGCTGCAGGAGTAAAGCAGAAGGGACTGTGGCCGCTCTTAACAGACCCAACGAATCGTATGCAGCGGGCAAACTACGATTCGAACGTCTGGCTGGACCCGAGTGAGCCTCCTGCTGCATATTTTGGGCTTTGATTTGAGCATTTGCAGTGATAGAAACACGTAAAATAAAAGACATAGATCGGGCATACAACATATGTACAATGCATACCATAAACAAGTCAGCATGCATACCCGCATACGCCGTATATGTATATTGTAGACAACATAAACCAACATAGCATGCGACCAAATATATGTATTGTGTAGTTGATGAACAGGCAGCATCTTTGTTGTTCAGTCCGTCGTTTGGTCATTGACACGCTTGCATGCGGGCAGTAGGCTGGTCTATTTGTCATCTCCTTGTTAGAATTTTTTGTCTTGCCTATCACGCGTTCCCGTCTCTCCCGACTCTGCTCTTTTGTTGTTTTATATGGTTGGCTGTGTGTTGAATCAAATAGCTCAGAGGAGGCCGGGTTTACCTTGACTTGAATCTTTCTTAGTTGCTGCTTCCGCTGCTGGTGCGGTGTATGTACACCGCAGACATGCAGGCACAGCGCGTGCGGCCCCGTTACTTGCCTTGCGTTGAGATATCTTCCTCTAATGCAGTCCGTTGCCCAGTCCTCTGCTCGTCAAGGCCCCTCAGCGGCAGCAACAAAGCTTACCTGCTTGCTGCAGCTCGTGAGCCGCTGCTGTGGTTGCTGCTGCTGCGTTTCTTTTAGCTGCTCCGAAAGCTATTATACACCTTTCCTCGGAAGGATGCCCGTTGCGCCTGCTGCCAAGGATTGTAGTGCTGTTGTTGGAGTGAGGTAGCTACCTAATAATGAGATGGTACAGCTCGTGTATGCTGCAGCAGCCAGAATCTTGGGGTGTATGTGAATGCAGCCTGGAGCCAGGTGGCTGTTGAGGCGGCGCTGCCTTCCATAGAGTTGCCCGTTCGCCTTTCTCATGAAGGGCCCCTTGCTTTTGCCCCCAATTTAAGTGTCTCTGATGGGGGGAGACCAGTGGTCCACGGTACGTGAAGCAGCCACAGCAACAACAGCGGCTACGGCTGCTGCTGCTGGTATTATACGGGAAACGTAAAGTGATAAAGACAGCGCATGTCTCCAAGGAGGGTCCACCTATAGGCGCTGTATTGTACATTCATGCTCTCGGGGCAGAATGCCTTGTCTGCACTGGAAGGAAACGCAGAGGAACAGACAAATAAGCTGACAGATAAATTAACCAAGACACATTAGAAGGAGAAATAAACTAAAGGATACTCCCATTAGATACTGACCTCCCTTTTTCTTTGTCTATGCACAGCGCTTCAGCTGGTACTGCCTTCGCCTCCATATCACATCTGTGTCTCCCAATGCTGCTGTTGCTGCTGCTGCCAGGCATATTTACATGGTGCCTAGTGTCTGTCCTCCTGGAGCTCTTTGGCCCGATGAACGCCTCGGGAGGCCGCCGGGTGTCTTATCAGTGCCTCATAGACCGCATCAGGACACGCGTTAAAGACTTAAAGTGGAAGTGAGCACCGAAGCAGGTGCTGCAACAGGAGATGCAGCAGCAGTAACAGCACCAGTGCAGCAACGGCAATGTTGCCGGTGCGCCGAGTGTTTTTCCGCTCGTTTGTTTCCACTGTCCTGTTTTGTGTGTGAGCCTGGTGAGTAGACGCGCATGCAACGTCGCATGCAAGGTTCTACTTGGTTTAGCATGTGCTTTGGAGTGTGCTGGTTTTCGGTCTCCTCTGCTGCAGCCGTCTGTTTGCACTCGACCAAATGCCCGAGCTAACAGTACACACGGGGGGAAACGCGTCTTTCGAAGATTTGTTTTATTCTTTGGGGTGGCCAGCTGCCTTTTCTCCCCCTTCTTCGCCGTCTGCAGCGGGCAGCATCAAGGACGACAGGCTGCAGCAGACGTTCACAGCAGCGCTGACGGCTTCGCAGCGCCTTAGCGCTGCATGCTGCGTTCAGAGGCCCGATGCAGCACAAGCTGCTGCTGCTGCTTCGGGAGGCCCCTCAGAGTACATGGAAGGGTACTCCTTTCTAGATCCTGCGAAGGCGTGGCTGGAGCTGACCTGTGGGGGTCCCATTTCCAGTCTCCGTAGCTGCCGGTCAGCTTCTTCTCTTCCGCCCTACGCCTTTAGCAGCAGCTCTATGCCAGCCTCTCAGGTGGCGCCCCACTTCATCGACCCCCGAGAGCAGCTGCTGCTGCAGCAACACCAGCCATACACCGCAGCAGAGTGCTTCCGCCTTGTGCAGAGCCGAGAAGATTCAGCAGACTCTGTCGCCTCATTTGACACTTTTGCGCCGAAGAAACCTCGCGCTTCCATTGGTGAAGGCGCCGCACCCCCAGCGGCGGCGGCGGCTGCAGCTGGAGGAGCTGCTAACGGGAGATGGGGGCATTTGCAGAGCCATGAAGAACACTACCGAGAAGCAGGGGACTGCTCTGCCAGCAGGAGCAGCGGAGATTCCCCTCTGCCTGTTGCGGACTTCAACAGCAACAGAAGCCTTGGCGTTGGATTCTTGTACACACCAGGCAGCACTTTGCTGCTGCCTCCCCACAGAGGCCTCCAGCCCTCTACAGCTGCAACGACAACAGCAACAGCAGCTCGGCGAGACGGGGGCATTCCTCATGGCACTGCGGGCCCCTCGGGGGCCTTGTCGCAGCAGCACGATGCTGCCAGCAGCCCAAAAGAAGCTGCTGCGGCAGCGCGAGCGGCATACATTGCTGCTGCTTCTAAGCACATTGATGAGAGGTTCAAAGCAGAGGCAGCTGTAGGAGCGGCCAGGAACGCAGCGTATCAGGCGCAGCTGAAGAAGGCTCAAGATGTGGCGCCCCAGGCGCATGAACTGGCGCGCCTGGTGATGCAGCAGCAGCAGCAGCAACAGCAACAGCAGCAACAAGAAGGTGGGCACCGTTCCGGCCTGTCGCAACAACCAAAAGGCCATAAAGGCTCCCTCAAGGACAACACCCGAAAAATTCCCATATACGATGCCTCCCCGCCCCCCATTTACGAAGCCACACCTGACTGATGGCTGGTACCCTTTAGAAAAACCAATGGATAGATTTAATGAAAGCACAAAGCGAACACATAAACTTGGCGTTTCAAACAATAAAAGAACATACATTGCCACTTGCATATACTTCCAAGTAGCCGATTACCCCCTGCGAACTGCATGCATACAATAGTCAGTCGATGAGGATCAAGGTGCGAATACCTTAAGGAGAGCCTCACGGAAGAAAGGCACACGTTTCGGGGCCCATAAGAAAGAAGATGCGCGGGCTTTCGCCTGTAGAACGCATGTATTTTGAGCTGGGCACAGTAGCTGGACTGACTGAGCAAGGATCAACTCTGGTTGTGACTATGGGTTTGGGTCAGTAGTCAGTAGACTTATAGTGAGACTTAAGCGGGCCCCATATGGTGGCCGTCTTACAGATCTACATTATCAGCTTGGTCTGCAACTTTGAAACTGGGTCGTCATCGAGCGAGAGGCTTCCGAGGCGCTGCATGAACCTCTCTCGTTCTTTTTAGAACGGACACCGTGACTAAGAGGGGTTTAAATGCTGGGTAGTTCGCTTCTTGTGCAAAGGAGGCAAAGAAGAACAACGGCGTCGGGGAACAGACACTGTCGAGACATTCTGCTGTGCGCTCCATCGGCGAAGGGGTGGCCGCAAGATGTTAATAACCCACTTTTTGCAATTTTATTCTTTTTAAATATAGACCTTTGTTGACACAATTGTTAAATATTATATTAACACGCATACAACCTATCCCTTTGGCCCCCCCCCCCCCCCCAAAAAAAAAGAATCAACGGCCTTTAGTCAGCTGACGATCCTGTGACTACGTCCAGCGGGCCAGCCCATTGGTTCTAACGCCCGCGGCAGTCTCGATTAGGCCAAGCGCAAAACTGAGAATTTCATCTTCTTTTTCCCGTTTTATTTTTAATTTCAAATGCAAGAAAAACATTTATGTTGCTCCTTTTCGTCACCCGCACTCTTCCCGCCGCCTGCTGCGCTGCACTGAGCAACAGCAGCCGCACACGAGCTGTACATATAAGCGTAGAGCCCTTCTAGACGAAACGTTGTGTTTATCCTTTCTTTATTTATTTCAGAATTTTACTGCTACAAGCGCTTGCGGAAGACTTCGCGTAGCGGATGGCCCGAAATGGTGAGGCAAGGGCGAACGATCTGGGCTCCGTGACTTGGGGTTTGGGGCTAAGGGTTTAGCGCGTGCCCAACGGTAACCTGCAACACTGCAATCTCCTCCTCTTCTCCAGTAGATGGGCCTTGATTACTCAACACCCCGCCCTTCGGTGATGCTTTGTTTGGGTTGTGGTGTCGCCTCAGCTGGCCAGACAAGATGATGCGCTCTGCAGCGCTTTCTATAAAAGGGCTCGCGCAGCGAAGACCGCTGAAAGGCCACAGCAGGAGTACACAGCCTTCCCTCCATGTATTCCCTCATGCGTCTCTTGTCACTCTCCTATTACGTTTGCTTCTTCCGTCTCCGTCCGCCCCCGTTGGCTCGGTTTGCCTTGTATTTTGTCTCCTCTTGCCTCTGTTTGGCAACTCTTGTGCATCCCTTGGAGACGCAGCTGGCGATGGCTCTGGTACTGTGCGTTGCGTAGGTGTTGTTGAGCCGGTTTGAAGGTGTTGATGCTTCTTGTGAATATTTGATGTTAGTGTTCGTCTCTGTGATGCGATTCTTGATTTATTCTTTAGATGTTTCTGGCACCTTCTACCTCTGCTGTTTCCTTATCTTCAGCTCTTCGCTGCCGCCCCTCCGTGGTTACATTGGAGGAGGCAGCCGCCGCCCCTGCAGCACAACTTCGTACCCATCAACCGTACGCTGGCATTCGTCTTCCCCTGCTGCACATGCTCCTGCTGGGCGTCCTTCTGTTGGGCATGCTGATGATGAACCTTTTATTGCTGCCACCTCTGTTGCTGTTCCATTTGTTGTTGTTCGAATTGCCTCCGTTGCACACGCAGGTGTTGCAGGAACAACCTTCCCATTTGCAGCTGTAGCAGTTACAGGCCCCGTTTTCTAATATTTATGAAGAATTTGTTTGCTTTCCTGCTGAAGTATGTCCCTTCGGTCTGCCTCTGCTTGTCATGTTGTAACCTTAGGCCAAGCAGGGCAATGGCCAAGACTGGGAATTCCTCTACAAAACCGTTAACGCTGAGAGGAATCGACTTGAATATGAAAACAAAGCGTAAGGAGGAGCCAATATAACAGCAGTAGGACCAAATCCAGCTTCAGCAACAGAAGCATGTGTCGGTGTTCCTATGTCTGCAGTAGCAGTTGTAGGAGGCATCGGGGAGCCTGAGGGAAGCAGCAGCTTGGCTTAGGAGTGTTTCCTGTGCTGATCTATTTAGCGTCTTCTGCCGTTCTTGTGAGATGCCTTTTACTGCTGCTGCCCTAATTGCGGCTTTTCTCGATTGACGTTTTCCCTCCGCTAGCCTGTTCTTTGTACGTGGGGTTGCAGTATCGGGAGAAGTTTTGATGCACTTTTCCAGAAGGCCTACGCGACGGAAGTCCAGTTGAGAAACCTGCGAGTGAGGGGAATGTATTTTCTTGTGTGGTTTCGCTGTCTTGTGCTCAGTGATCTTGCTGTTTTCTTTTCGTTTTACTGCATTGTCGTTTTGTTGCTCCTATGTGTTAACTTGCCCATATGTTTGTATGCGCGTCTGCTAGCACGTATATCTGTGGTTACCGGGGTGTACATGCAGGTGTATGTAAATTTACATGCATCTATAGATGTTATGTTTGCCGCCAAATCCTCACATATTTGCTCGCACCGGGGTCTCAACCGGGATTTCGTACCTGCAGATGTGTTGGGCTGCCACAGTTACTTCGTCCTGCTGCGTTGGGTATTCCGTTCGTGTTTCTCTGCCGCAACGGCGATGTTGCATTCTTGTCGTTTGTGCGCATTTGTTTGCTGTTTTGTCCGTTTGTTCACCTGTACCTCATGGTCTGTATTTTTTGTTTTTTTGTGTTGCATCTCCTTGTTCCTGTTGTGGGTTTGTCTACTCTTTCCTACGGCCGTCTGCGTCGCTGTGTTGCTTTTTCGTTTCCTTTTTCCCCAGTGTGTTTTTCTTCTTTTCTCCTGTGTTCACAGTCCTTATATTTGTCGAGCTTGTTTGATGCCTCAGGCGTACGCAGCTCGCTGTTCTGGGGTGTACGCGCCAAACTTGTCGGACGTGAAGGAGTTGGTGTCTCTCGTGTGCAGCATTTTGGGTCTTTTGGCCAGCAGCACGGCGGACCCCATCGTCTCCAAAGTCCCTGAGATCGTTGCAATGGTGGCTGCCTGTCCTGTTGTGCGTACAGTTCAGCAATACTATTGCGTGCATCTTGCTGTCTTCTTCGCTGTCATCCTGTGTGTGGCTTTGTCTCTCGCTCACTCTTTTCTTTGCTTTGTCGTGGAGACGCTCCCTCTGCCATGGCGTTCCTTGTCGCATGCTTTGTTTCTGCTCCTTTTTCACTGTGTTTCGTCTTTCTCCGTCTCTGCGCTTTCTCTGTATCTCATTTTTCGCTCTGCCTTGCTTTCTCCACTATCTTCATTTCTGCCTCCGGCTCTGGTGTTCCCACCCCTTCGTCGCTGCGAAACTGTGTGTCCCCGTCCGCCGTTTCTGTTTCCGTCTCTTCTTTTTTGCCTTGTCCCCTGGGCCCCCTGCTCCCTTTTCCCGTGCCTATCACCTTGCCCTTTTCATTGGTTCCTTCCCGGTTCCTGTTTTTTTTGCCTTTCGCCATTCTCTCTGTAGCCTTTTCACTCAGCCCCTGCCTCTTTTCTACCACGCTCTTTGCCTGTATCTCCTGGATCTGGCTTTGCAGCACGACAGACGTCTCTTTGCGGCTACTGAACAGCTGAAGCGGAAGGCAGTCGACTGCGGGTTGGCCGCTTCGAAAGGCCCCGTGAGTCTCCCCACCAGCTACCCCTGCGCGGAGCCCCAAACCCGCCCCTCGTCGATAGCTGCACCTCACCTTGCCGCCCTCACCCTTAACGAAAATTGACAGAACTCACCTAACCGTCCAGAAATTCATTTGCTAACTGAACCACCTTGCCACCTACCTAGAAAAAACGCCAACTACCTAGCCCACTCACTAGTCCGCTATCTGGCCAACTAGTTAGCCATCTAGCTGGGCAGCAGCTGGGTTGTTGATGGGGCAAGTAAGGGAGCAATGATGACAGTTGTGCCATGCGTCACAGAGGAAGCCCCCTCCTTCGGACAGCTTCTCGGGAGAGCGTAAGGGTTGCTGTCTGTCCTCACTCTCATCTAAGCAACGCGGAGTAGCTGATTGGATCAACAGGCTGTGCAGAGTTGTGCTTGTGTATCCGGCTGCTGCTGCCGCTACTTCCTGCCTCTCTGCTGGGACACTTTCGGAGCGCGCTGCTTCGGAGAGTGGTTCCGGCATGCTTTGTGGCTTTCCGTGTGGCGTGATTGGGACATTGCCACTCATGGGAATATCCTTGTTTGTGCTTGCGGTGGATCTGTTGCAGCCTCTTTGGACTTGCGGTGGCTGGCAGCAGAGACGAAGGATGACGCATGGTTGCAAATGAGCGATAGGTGGGTATAAGGATGAAGGTATGGTACTTGTAACGTGTGTGCACGAGGCAAGCTGCTGATGAACAGGTACCCTCTTTATTGCTGCAGCAAGCCGAACAATTCATCATCATCAACAGCTGCTGCGCAAGCCGAAACCGCTGTCGCTGTTCCATGAGTTCGTTTGGTGCCCCTAGTTATCCCACGTCGTTGCCAGCTCTTCAGCGAGCATCGTCATCATCACTATCATCATCAGCTCATCATCATTATCAGCAACAGCTGCAGCGTGAACAGTTCGTGTATGCGCGAGTTGCAGGTGGGAGTTTTGTCCTTTGGATCTGCGTTGGCTGGCGGTGGCTACGAACGACAGGTCTTGGCTCTTAAACCGGTTCGTTTGGAAGAGAAGTCCCCGTGACTTGCAGTGGATGGCCGTAACCACGTACAGCAGAGATTGGCTCCTTCTCGGAGGTGAGAAGCGCTTGCATGCATGCATCCAGCGAACAACTAAAATACTCCACCACCGAAACGAAATGCGTGCAGGCACGAGCTCCCCGCGTCCGTGAGGGGAGGGCAGATGCTTGCGAGCATTCATGCGGGCCCTGTAAAGGCCGTCTGAAACTACTTTGGGTCCTCCATTATGGTCTGAAGGGGTCTTTAGAAGGCCCCTTATCCCCTGCGGGCGGCAGCTGCTAGGTGCAATTCTGAACTTGGTTGTAGTGGATGAGCAGCAGCTGTTTACTACAGCTATTATTGCACTTGGTGTTGCCCATAGCATTATTATATGCTGTTGCTGTTATTTGGTGCTCTTATTGCAGCTTCGGATCGCTGGGAGGCGACTCCTCCTGCTTTGAAGCTGCGAGCCATTCAAAGTCAGGACCCGAGCCTCGTGCGTCCCTCCATGTCCGAGGCGATGCAACACTTGTTAGACGTCCGCTTGGGAGCTGATATACAGAGAGAAGGTAAGGGCAAGTAGTACACGAAAAATGCCATTTCTGTTGCCACACCGTGACAGCCGGTCAGCCAGGAGCCCGGAGGGCGCCTGTTCCGCCCAGGAACCACAGCGGGCCACAGGAGCAGGGGCCCCTCTGTTTCCGCCACGAAAAGGAGGTCTCCAGAGATGCTGCGGTGGAAGAAGATCCTGACAGCTCTGCTGCTGCTTCTGTGTCTACGAGGCTGCTCTTGCATGAGTGTTTTGAGAGATGCGGGGTTGGCGCTGCTGGAGTTGCAGCTAGTGGTACAGTGATCGCCGTTGATGTTTCTGAGGCAGTTTGGTTGTGGTTTGCTGTTTTGCAGTGGATATACGGGAAGAAGCTTTTAACAAGACGCCCCACAGGATCGGTGTCGGCATCGGTCCCTACGACTCCTTTCGGCTCTCTGCCGCGGACCTGACAGCTGAACCAGAGTTGCGGAAGCCTTTCGCGAGCCTGCCCAGAGCAGGAGAAACGCAGAAGGCTCCTGCTGCTGCTTTTGCAGCAGCAGCAGTAGAGAAAGGGGCCCCCTTATCCCACTTCCCGAAGGAGGGGACTGTGCCTGCTTCGAAGCCCCCTGCCGCCAACAGCTCGCCGCCCCCCTGCACTCCCTTTACGCCGAAGGCTGGTAGCATTCCTCTAAAGAAGGCCCCAGAAGAAAAGAAAACACCAGGTTCTGCCCCATCAAAAGCACCTTCCAAAGCAACAACAGCAGCCCCAGCACCAGCAGCACCGGGAGCGGCAGCAGTTGAAGGCAAGGGTGGGGGCCTAGCAGCAAAGGACACTACTTCGGCCTCAGGTAGTAAGGTGGGTGGCCCCGCTCTAGGAAAGACGTTAGCACCCCCTACAAAACCAGGTGGCCTTGCAGGAGCTAAGACTTTAAGCTCCCCCACTGCGAACCCAGCGGGGGCCGCCTTAGCAGCCAAAGGGGCAGGGCCCCCAACTGCAGCCAAAGGGGCAGAGCCCACAGCAACCTCGCCGACAGGGCCCCCAGCAGCACCAGGTAAAGCAGAGGGCCCCCTAGCGCCCAAAACGTTGGGGCCCTTAACCACCAAGAAGGCCACAGCTCCGCCTTCATTGAAGAAGACCTCCGGTCCTCCCGCTACTCCCACCAAATCTGAAGGGCCTTCAAGCCTTCCAGTACAAAAGAAGGAGACAGCTCTTCCACCTAAAACGGATCCCCCCACACCTACAAAAGCGCCAACACCGGGGGCCCCCGGGGGCGGCCCTCCAGCTTTAAAGCCCGCAGGGCATCCGCCAGGAAGAACTGTGCCAGCGCCCACCGCCAAATCTCTATCTTCTCCGCCTCCCAAACCCTCAGGGCCTGCAGCAGGAGCAAAAACAGAACCCGAAGCAGTGTCAGCATCAGGCCCCCCCCCGGCGCCCTCGAAGGGGCCCCTGGGGGGACCTTCAAAGGGGCCTCCATTGGGGTTCTCCAAAGGTCCGGTAGGGGGGCCTCAGGGACCCCCTGGGTTGAAGAAAGACCCCGCCCCTCCGAAGGCAACGGAGGCTGCCACTTCAGCGAAGAGCAGTGAAACACAGGATATGGTGAATAAGCAGGTAATAGAGCCTATGGGAAAGACTAAAGGGGAGTCGAAGGCCCAAGCTGCTTGTGAGTGAATCTTCTGTATTTATACTCCACACGCACACCTTAAAGGCACGCAGTCCGCAAATATGCCCTAGCAGCACAGCAAAGCATACATAAAGCATCTGATTTCTTATTTGAGCCCCTATATTTGAAGGCATAACATCTACAACCAAGAGACACACAGAGAGTAGTGGCAACAGGTCCTCCCCGCTCCCTGTGCCCCTTCAGACTAAGCTAACACGCGCATATCAGAACTTCTACAGGCGATATAGCACAGAAGGCGAACGAACAAGCAGCCAAAGAGAAAAACAAATAAACGAACAAATAAACTAGGAAACGCATATTCGAAATGCGCTGATGCCTTTCTGTGGAATGCGCAGCACCCCGCAAGGGACCCCCTGTCGCAGGCAGCCCGAGTGCGACAAAGGCTCCCCTTGGGGGGCCCCCAAAGCTTCCAAAAGCTCCTGCTTCAGTGGGGCCCCCCAAAGATAAGGCGAGTCCTCCCCCTGCTTCTGGGGGCCCCAAGGAAAAGGCGTCTTCTCCATTGGAAGCAGAGGCAAAGCCTCCTCCGTCTTCAGTGGCCACCAAAGCTGGGTTGAAGGGACCCCCCAAATCTCCCAAACCCACGGGGCCCCCCGCTCCCCCATCTAAAGACGCCGCAGCCTCACCATCGCCGAAGGATGCAGCAGAAGCACCCATAGAAGCAAAACCACCACTTCCTCCCAAGGAAAAAACGGCTTTACCTTCCGCTAAAGGCACCCCTGCAGCTGCGCCCGCAGCAGGGACCCCCCCATCAGCTTCGAAACTTCCACCGCCTCCAGGGGCCAAGGGTCCCCCCCCACCCGCAGTTACACCTGCAGGCAAGGGGCTCCTGCCTCCGAAAGGGGGTCCTCCCAAACCCCCACCAGTGCCAACAGACGATGCAGCCTCTTCAAGCCCCCCTAGGGAGCCTGTGAAAAAAGGGCCATCAGGCCCCCCAACGGGCCCCCCGAGTGCCCCCAAAGGACCCCCGGGCCCCTCAAAGGGCCCTCCAGGTGCCCCCAAAGGACCCCCAGGCCCTCCAAAGGGACCTGCGGGTGCCACGAAAGGGCCCCCAGGCCCCCCTAAAGGGCCTCCCACGAAGCCACCTTCACCAGCTGTGAGCCATCTGTACCCATTCTGCTTAGAGGATAGCAGCGACACTTAAGGTCCCCCGCTCGTTGCACACTACACAAATACTACTGCTTCACATCTCGTGAGGACAGAAGGGGGAAGGTAGCGAGCAGCATCTTGGGGCGCTTCAGCATCAGCTTGCTGCACCAACACTCCTTGCTGCTGGTGCTCCGCCGTTGCTGATTCAGTTGAATCAGTTTGCTAGCTGTTGGTCCTGCTGCTCTTTCTTCCTTGATTGAGAGAAGCACCTTGTATGGCTGCAGCGGCAAATTATTTTTTCGCCTTGTATATATTTTTGATGCGCGGTTCTGTGTGCATGCTGCTTCGCAGGGCAAGCTTCCCGGCCCTCCCCCGCCAAAGCTGTCGTCGTCCCCTCCAAAGCCAAAAGCTACTAATGGTCAGTGATCATAATCAAGGCCAATTGCGTGCTCTCTTCCTGTATATATCGATTCTAGAGTCTTTGCTTCCGGGTTTAGGGTGTGTGATTTAGCGCGTAGGGATTAGTGATGCACCGGGTCACTGGTAGACTAGTTCGTTTCGCGCCTTCCTGCTCCCTCGAGGCGCCGCGAGCCACCCAACAGTGCCCCGAGCGGCAGTGGTTTGAGGGCAGCATGTGCCTCCCTGAGGCAAAGTGCAGATTAACAACCTGTGGACCCTTTGGTGATGGATTTGTTTCTGCATCAATACTTAGTTTCCCACGGCTGGAATATGCGTCTAGAGGAGCCCCAGGAATAGAAGTTGTCCACTCAAGCCACTAAGCAGAGATGATTTTTTAAGAAGGGGGGGAGGGACGTGAGGGATCGGCTACAGGGGCATGTGTGCTACAGGAGTGCTTGGGGGGCCCCTGCGTTGTTGCTTGGGTTAGGGCATTATTCCTATTTGCAGGCACACCTGTAGAAAAGTGGCCCGCAAAACTTTGTATCGCGTTAGCTGGAGTGTATGTACACCGTGCGAGTACATGGGGCCCCTCTTATGGAGGGAGGGAGGCGTAGAGGCTGCTTTAACCTACCAGAACTAGCGGGTCTTGCTGCTGTGTCTGTCGCCTGGCACAGGAGCGACTCACGAGCACAAGGAAATGCCTACCCCGTCGTTGAGAGACAAACTGCTGAACCAAGAAATTACAACAGAGACACTAAACACCACTAAAGAGACAGCAGAAGAAATGGGACGTGTGATAGCAGCCACCACTCGGGTCGCGACCAAGAACGTCTGAACATCGTATTCCCCGGTGTCCACCTCTTTCTCTGCGCATTCTCTCTTGTTTCACCACATTTCCTTCCTGTATTTCACTATTTATACAGCCTAGTTTGAGACTGCTTCTGCTCCTATCTGTCAAAAGCACTTACAGCCTCTCCTTTGTACCAAGACCTCTTAGAATTTCTCCCTCGTCGTTTTCCCATTTCATTGTCACCAGTCACCGTTCTCTGCAGGCGACACATTTCGGCTGCTTCATAAACAGCGGAAACTTGTCTTCGGCAACAGCTGCTGCTGCTGCCCCACCTGCAACTGATCCCCTAAGGCTGTTACATGAACGCCTTAAGGAGGCCTTTATGTAGCACACTCTTCAGTGGGCGCGCCTCCGCAGTACGTCTGCATTATTTGTTAGTAACGCACTTGCACGTTCTGAACAGCTGTTGTACTGGTCAGTAGACGAAACCCTTGGACAACCGCAGCTAGCTGCAGCCAGCCACGGGCATTCGCTCTCGTCAAGCCGACTGGTTTGCAGATCGCCTTACGAACTGGAGGGAGCCTCATAAATTTGTATTGCAGCCACGGAAACATCTTTGTCCCTTTCGTCCGTACACCGTCTCATCATCCAGGGTAAAAGGAGCTCTCGTGTCTTCGCATGCGCAGCCTGCCGCTGTGGAGCTAGCTGCCTATGGATTGCTTTGTCAGGGCTAATATCGCGTGCAAGTCTCGCTGCACTGTCCTGCATGCCTGTTTGCATGCATGCTTGAGGAAGAAGCAAATGTGAGGCTAAGGGCCCAGTTCACCTCACGCTGCACGTCTCCTGTGCAGCACAGGGCTGTAGAGTGGCTCGCCCTGATGTGTCTGTTTATTTACGCTCCCTTCACCCCTATTCAGACTCACTCTGCAGGCAAAGAACTCGTTATAGGCAAACGTAACAACTGGGCAACCGGCCGAGACAACCAGCAGTCAACTGAAGGAAGAATGGCCTGCTCCCTTACGCCTGGGTGTCGCGAGTGTTTCTCACTTCGCAACAACGGCTTCGATATGTCATCAAAAGTGCACGAACGTCGGTCGACATGCCAAAATTCATTCCGATGCAACAGATATTAATTATTCGAATTATTCTTTTTGTGTTGCTGAGCAGTATAAGAGTTGTAGTTAGTGGCTGCTAACTGCAGTATATCAGTTATTTTGTGTTTTTGTCAACACACATTTAACAGCTGTGCAAAACAGTTTTTAACGGTTGTGTGCTTTCAATAGTTACCTTTGGTCGTAATAGTCGTTCCCTTCTTAATTCTTTGTATCACCGATGAGGTCCGTTGTTCTATGTTCTTCAGTGACTTCCTGTTAGCTACTAGAGGGAAGATGCTTACGCCAAAGCCATCAACTGTTCCAGAAGACGATGTACTGTGTTTTGATGTTTCTATACAAGGAATGCCGCAAGTGTTGCATTCAAGGTCAGAGTGTATTCTTACGGTTTCTGCTTTCCCTAAAATGATGTTGCCAACAGCCAAGTACTTCACAGCTAGCCAGTGAAGAGGTCTCTACTTTGTTCTCCCACACTTAGCCTACGCGAATACGCGCTACAAGGTTTTGCTTCAGGGGAAGATGGTAGTTGCGCAATAACTGCAGGTCGACAACGACCACAATAGAGCAAAGAAAATCCGAAATGTTGCCATGACAGAGAATGAGAGGAGCACAGGCTGTGTCATGTCGCAAACGTGGTTTCCACACAAGCATACGTACATCCATGCATGCATCCATCCATGCATGCATCCATGCATGCATGCATCCATCCTTCCATCCATCCTTCCATCCATCCACCCATTCATGCATTACATTATATTATAATTATATTATATTATATTATATTATATTATATTATATTATATTATATTATATTATATTAA